TGAAATTCATACTCTGTTTCGGCATCTTTGAAATTTAACGGCAAATTTTCAATTCGATCAGCAAGTGTGGCATAAATTGCTTCCGTATCTCTTTAAATGTTTCTAACATCAGACCTCGTTAATTTTTTTTTATGTAACTGCAGAGTAAAATTAACGATGGTTGTATCTATTTCTCTTATTAAATCTTCAAATATTTGATGTTCTCTTGTTATGGATTGATAGTTACTGGTACTTGCTGTGGGTTCTATGCTTGGTCCTGACGTTGCTAATCGAACAGTTTTTACTAACTGTGTAACGACATCTATATCTGATTTCTCATTGCTATTGCTATTAGTTCGGAAATGGCCTAAAATGTGGCGCTTAAATGAATAAAATTTACTAAAAACTGATTGACATGGAACATAAGTGCAAACCATACGATAATTTCTAGGTATTTGGTGGTGGTCGACTAAATGTATGATATACTCATTTGGTGTTTCAAACTGACTCGAACATCCCTCAATGAAACATTCGATCATCATTCTGAGTTTTCTGTGCTCTTGGTAGCTTCTAAGAATGTTACTATCTTCTCGATGCTAGCGTACGTTTCTGCCGACTTCAACTTGTACATATATCGCGCAATGAATAGCCAAATCAGCATGCTGATTTTGGAATGCTTCAACTGTAGTCAACTTGATGTAGGTATCAACTGCTCGTATTGCTGAAGACACAGTGTAGTAATAGCTGTTGTAGTAGACTCAGAATACTCCCAAAAGCTCGGTCGGGGTGCCAAAAAAGAGTAACTTTGGTGAGCGAGGAAGAGCAAAATCCTGATATCGTTTGTATATCTCTGTAAGCTTAGTATTAGCATTGGTATCTGAATCAGCGAATACGATAGTATCATCACGCCCGTTTATGACCGTGGGCTTGTAACATTCGGTTACTTTTTGGGGATGAAGTACGCAATTTAATAACAACATCAGCGCGCATACTCAAGTATCTGAAATTATATTGGAAAAATAAAACATAAATAAAAAATTATTAAATAAATACTGTGAGTTCTTGAAATGGTTACAGACCCACTACTCTGTCCATTCAAGTAAAAATATGCTGGTGATTAAACCTTTTCAAGACATTTTTTACAAAATTGCTAGAGCTTGAGCTTGAGCTAGAGCAAAATTTCAACATATTTTATTTGAATGCACTAGACCATATACATTCAAATCTACATGTAAGCAACCGTAAGGAGTTAATTATTGACTATATTTCTAATAACCCTTGAGCAATGGTTCTCCCTATGGAACATGTTCAATGGTGTACATAAAACCTACATTCATCATTCTAAATCCATACTCATGAACATAAAATAGTCTGTCTTCTAAATTATTCAAGGGTTCAGATCATATGATCTATTAGCTTGCATGATGTCCTCAATAATGGGATACACCCGATTTTTGACGGTTATACTTTTTCTCCAACTGCCGCCAAATGACACCATAATTGAATGCAACTGATTTTAAAAGATCATACACCACTCAAATAATATTTTGGTGCCCATAAAATGTTTCTTGGTGTACCATAGGCCAAGAAAACTGAAAAAAAAACCAAAAGTATCCACCTATGGTGAGATTTTACCCTTCTCACACTTTATATGACTACCAATGCGAATGACAGTGGTCTTTAACCTGTGGATTTCGTGGATGTCTTCGTCAAAGATTTTGTATACCGTCCGGGACTGAAAGCCGAAATTAATCGAAAACCATACATATCATACAAAACGCCTAATTTTTTGCGTGAGGTGTACGGATTTTGATCCTGTACGAATTTCGGTCGCTTACGGTACCATGTGATACCGAAATTCGTAAACCTCATACAAAAAGTAGGCGATAATCTAGACGATAATAAAGGCAAAGTTGTAGAAAAATCAATTTTGAGAATCTTTGTCACAGACCACATTTTATTTTATCCGAGTTTATCAACGGGTTTTCATTCTACAAAGATTTTTCTGTAAAAGCGTAAGCAGGTTCTAAAAAACGTATACTTTTCTATTTAAAATGTGAAAACTGTCTTTAGTGGACTTATTTCATTCCTTTTAAGGCAAATATTTTTGTAAATTTATTGGCGAGCGTTTACTAATATTTTTGCCGAAGATTACAAGTCGCTATATTGTTCAATAGTTATGATCAATTTTCTTTCAAAAATACGCCCTTTTCCTCGCCCTTTTCAAATATCTTCGCAATGGGCAGGTGCAAAAATATTCCGTTGCGTGTAGATCACTTAGGTGAATGGCTCAGAATCGGTTCATTCACATATATGACCGAATCTTTTCATCGAATAACTTAATTGTAGTACAATTTGAAACTTTGTGAAGGTTTAAAATGAAATAGTATGTTTGTCGGGTCACTCCTATAAGAACCCCTCATTTTATGTGTCAAACTTTCATAGCGAATTAAAACAAACATAGTGTAGTACTAGAATTTTGACAATAATGGGGTACGCCATAGAAGTACTTGGGACCAATAGGCAAGCAGTGAATCAATTTAAAATCGTTAGTTTCTACCCGCTGGCTGGTACTACCGAGGTACATAGAATTTCGAATGTTGAAACTTTAGAACAAATTTCCAACGAAATAATTAATAATTTCAGGCAAAAATAGTTGCAATCCTCAAGTTTTGTTCAGTTGCATCTATACTAAGCTGCGCTATTCATGAAGCTTGATTTACCTTCTGATACCTCAGCATTGCTTAACGTACTAAGCAATTGAGACGATGGTTCGTCTATCAATCGTCGTTCGATGTACTGTCCAGCTACTGTAAGAACGTGTGTCCACTCTGTATCAACAGCGTTGTTGCCCGGATACAGTAATTGGTAATCAATGTCGATCTGTTAAATAATACAAATTACATTACATTATAATTAACAATAAAATCATGGCAAACCCTTACCAGCTGGTATCCAAATTCTGATGTTATCAAACGCAAAAGATTCAATTTGATTAGCCCTTGTTCCGCTTTCGGTTTCGCTAAATACCCGACGCGTAGCGGGTACGAAGCTCTCCATCGATCCAAAACCGTTGTCCAAGGAGCATTATTCACTTGTAGCCATTGTAGAGCATCGTGAACTGCAGCGTCATGATGTTTTTCACAACTTTTTATATGCTTTGCATTATGTTGCTTCATGTGCTGCTCGTCATCTAACTTTCGCTTGCGAATTTTGGCCTTCAGTGAATTTATTTTGTTGTATATCTTACCACCAGGGTTCTTTTTATCTCCACCTCTTGGCAGAAAATATGATTCCTGTAAAATAGATGTTGGTATTAGCAGTGAAAGATTACGAAATAAATTTCAATCAATGTACAAAGATGACTTCGTCCCTCTAATAACGGGGACCAAAATCTCTTTAAACATGTTAGCGTGAGTCGTAACTTAGCCCTATAAACAAAGATTCAAAGGAGCTGTTCATAAATTACGTAGACAGTTTTTCCGGGATTGATGCCCCCTCCTTCTGCGTAGACAGTTCTACATGAACATTTCAAAAGGTCATACTGCATTGCATGTTGTTTTGTTCTCCAACACCCTTCCTCCCTCCTTCTTCAATAAACTGTCTACGTGGTTAATGAACAGCTCCAAACGATGATTTATCGAAACTGAAATAATGAAATTGGGCATTCCGCTAACATGCTTCAAATTAAACAATTAAAGGTTATCTTCCATTTAACTCCCTTTAATTAATTTTGGTATCCATGACAGATACGTATTTCGACTACAATGTCCTTCTTCATCAGTGTCATCAAAATCTAAATCACTTAAGTACTCATCCTCTAGATTGTTGTCCTTTACTTATCTCAAATCTTTGGTTAATAGTTAGTTAGGTTCCGATCCTGCACGTTGTAGTTTCATTTTATACCTGTGATCTTGATATTTTTACCTTTAGGATGGGGTTAGATTTTAATAATTCTTTAGTGGGATCGACACTGATGAAGACTGTACATTGTAGTCGAAATACGTGTCTGTCATGGATACCAGAATTATTTAAGTGGAATTAATTGGAAGATAACCTTTATCGAAACTCTTCACTCGCCTATTAGATGGAGTTTCAACAAATTAATAGGTGAATCTTTGTTTATAAAAGCAAATGGGAGTAGTGGAAAACATGTTCGCCAAATTTATTAATTTTCAAGATATTTGCCCAAAAGGATCAAAACTATATTTTATGAACTGATTCGCATACCTATTTTCATTGCGAAAAAATCGTGTTGTGTTTTAACCTTGGTTTTAACTAGTCCAAAAATTACTACTTTGAGGGAATCAAGATTTTGAAAAAAAAATAGAGAATATCACCAATATCAGCTGAACTTAGAAACAGCTGGAAGATTTATTGTTTAATTGTTGCAAAATTACCTGCTTTTCGTTCCGGAAGAGTAAGACGATAACTCTAGCGTATTTCTTCACATCAGTTTCGAACACTTTTGTCTTGTTTGTCATATGCCATTCAGCCACAATCTCCGCAAGCTCAAGCTGCCCGCGCTCCGAAAGCGGTCCCGTTTCTGTCAATCGTAAAATGTCTTTTCCGTTCAATGAGGTTCTGAGGATGTTCTGCAGTTTTTCGGGTGTCAGATCATTAGATGGATTATCATTCTCTCCTCTACTGGAATTTAGTTCCTAAAACACACGGAACAGTTAAAAAATTATAACAATTTTTGCAAAATTGTATATCAAAGCTGTGAACCGTTGTTGTTATCGAGGTTGCTGTCTGGTGCTGGTTTGTTTTGAATTTGTTTCAAAACAGTTGTAGGAAGGTTCGCAGACTGTAATTAAAAACACAAAGGAAATTTATGTGAATGGATCATCGAGATTATAAACAAATGTTACCTTAGAACTGGTTGGTACTTCCGACGATTCACTTGAGGGCTCACTCAACTTACACGGAGATGTCGTAGTTACCAACTGGTTGGACTCATCTACTTCCTCTGAGTCACCAACCGGTAGAATAATTGATGATGATGATGACGTTGACGACAGGTTTAATTTGGGTGCATCGACGATTGTTGTAGTCTGTAAAATAAATATGGCTAAATTAATTATTATTGAATAAAGCGAAATTAGTTACCTCAGTATGAAATGGTGGTTTCGATGGTTCACCGAAGAATTGGTCAGCACTGGATGGAGCAGCTGTCAAATTTGGGTCAAATGGTGATGATTGCACCAGCGGAATACTATTCACTGCTTCCTGTTGTTCGTGATGGAAAAAAGAAAACAAAGGAGAGATGATAAAAATGTCTACTGATCGGCTACTCCAAAATATACGTATACCGTGAATACGAGAGTAGTTCCTTCCTCGTCTTTGACTACTTGCGCCAATCCAAGTTCTTGGATGAACTCAGTTACTTCGTCGAAGTTCGTTGGGTCAATGCCGTGTTCTGTAATGAAAATATTGCATTAATGTTATAAATATATCTTATCATACAAACAATGTACTCACGGTTAATAATTTCGATAATTTCGTTAGGAAAACCTAACTCCACTAACAAACTTACTCTCCTCGCAAAGTTGCTGCTGCCTTACATGTTTGTTTTGACACTTTAGGCACTCTTCTCATCATTATAGTGAGATCCCGTACGATTCATGTGTCATACACGTTAAATACACTAGTGGAAAACAGTAGCGCAGAATTATATGAGGATCTCATGGATTTCGATAAGTAAACACATGAATTCAATGTGTGGATAGTATTGATTTCATTAGCAACAAAAACATATTATTTTTTTTGTGTAAATCTCATGACATCCGTGGGAAAAGCACATGATTCTATGGTGACAAGCAATGAATGGTCTTCATATTCCAAAACACATGAATAGAACGTGTCATTTTTTTGAGTGCATCCTGTATGTCGGTAATATTTATTTGCGTTGCTTGTCTTCTTTCAAGCGACGCGGCCCATGCAGTATCGATTTCTTAGATGCACGCTTCAATGCGTTTACTCAAACGTGTGAAAAAGCTTACAAACTTAGCGGAAAATGCACTGTACAATTTTAATTACATTTACAATGGTTAGTTTGCTGAATTGTGTTTTGAGTAAACACACTCGGACTGTTGCAGTCGATTACTGCAACTCTTTCTAATTAAACTATGCTCAACCGTTATGAGTTTTGTTCCCACAATTGCCTACAATTTGTTCTGATTTAACGCTTCTCAGTTAATTAATGTGTTCATGATATTTTCCATCATTCGTTCGTAATTTTGTATCAATTTTCATGCAAAAATAATGCCATTTCTATCACACACAAACATTCCTTTCCTATTCACCACACTCCATATTGCAACAAATGCAAATAATCTGCCCACCTCCACTCACCTCTCTTTGCTACTGCGGTGATAAATCAGCAATTATTTATCTTGCTGATTCCCCATGGAGGGGTGCTGGATATATTCTTTGAAAAAGGAGTTACATTCATGATGCGGCCGTAGAAGAGCTGGACTAGAGATCTATGCAATGGGGTTGAGCTTGCAGCAGAGGAGTTGGACTCTCCTATGGAACGGGTAATGGAAAATGTTATGATATGTGTTTAGTAGGATACGTCGTCCATAAAGCCGATTGCGTTTAGCCAGGCAAACAACGCAACAACACCCGTGTGACTATGAACCAGGACCAGGGTTACAACTATATAGGAGATGGTACGAGACATCCATTATCAGTTGTGGGCATGGCAGCTGTGTAGATTATATTGTTGCATAAACATATACAATACACTCCGGCTTGCCGGGTCGGATGTAGGCAAGTAAGCAAATACAAATGGTCCATTTATTATCAATTACCTGTGCCGGGTTCAGCCGAGTCAGCTACCAGGTACCTGTGACCAATATACGACCCTGTTGAGTCAATTGCCATTTTCACATTGATAGGAATTTTCAGATTTGTATGCTGCTAATTCGGTGCTAAGCAGGAAATGTAAGTGGCTTTGCTCTAAATCTTTCAAAATCTAAGCTGTTCAATCATCAGCCAGTAAAACAGATACGGATAGGATCGGACGCAGTAGTGACATACAGTTCAGCATGTTGTTTAGAGATTTACCAAACGTACAGGAGCGGGACGGGCAGATTTCCCATTTGTATGTAAATAATCTAACCCAAGCCTCCCAGGGTGATCTATATTGCACGGATCAATGCAATAAACTTCAATTCAATTTGTTGTGTACCAACTCTCTGTTAGCTGTTGTTAATCCAGGGATAAATGTTTGCTATATTTGCATCGAATAATAGAGACAGGATATTACTCTGACGCCAGAGCTATGGCAATACCATCGTTTTGATGAATTTCCAAGGCATCGCAGTCAGTGGAAGCCTCTCCTGTATTGGAGTGGTATTTGAATAAATATTTTTCCGATGTTTGCCACATCAAACGGTTCTGTTCCGGGAACTGACCAGGTCATATTTGTGTCTGTGTCAATACGAGCGTTTAGCTCTAATCAATAATTGCTTTTTTGGTTACAGTCGGATTATTTAAATTTGGTATTTTGTTGTGTACTAAAATCATAATTTCCCTTTTCTCCTTCCAGATCGGCGAAAGCCACGTGGACGTCCAGCGAACGGCCTCGAGCGACGTGACGGCATCGGTTTGCGCCAAATACTCGGGCGCACTCTGCATAGGTTCGTGTTTGCTCGTTTTGTTCCTTTCCCACTACCGTAAGCAAGTAAAGCTAATCAGCGAAAGTAGGTAATTAATAATGAATCCAAATTACAACAGCAACTACTACTAGAAAATTAAGCGAGAAACCAAATAAAAAAAAAGAAAAAGTGCGCGAAAATAGTTTCACCCAAAACGCATCCCGATTTGTGTGCCGTTGCGTGTTGGTAAACGAAACAAAACGTAACAAAGTTCGGTTAGAACAAAATTTCTACGCCGAGAATCGAATAGGCCGATAAACAATACGCTGCAAAAGTAAAGTACGTAACTGTAACGAAAACTGAAAAAGAAGAAAAAAACGAACTACGGGAGAATGGATTTTTTATACCTTCTAGGGAAATAAATAAGCATAACATTGCATACTTTCATATACTTACACACACTGATATGGACACACATTTACACTGACACAAATACACACACACACACACACACACTTACAACGCGGGGAACAAATTAATTAAAGAAAACAAAAACAACACTCACGATACAATTAATTAAATTTAAAAAGCGATCTGAGCAACTCATGCATTTTGTACATTTTAATGAGATTGAAGTGAAAGCGTACATTCGAAAAAAGAAAGTAAAACAGAAAAAAAGTAAACCAAACAACAAATTAAACATAAAAAAGCTATATGAAATTAAACTCCAAATGAAAATTTAATTAAAACGCGAAATATGATACGCGCCGTCGTTGTGGCCGTCGTCGTCGAAGCGGTTGAAAATTGGAAAAAAATAAAACAAAAGCGTCAAAAGTATCGGCTGAAAGTGTTGGACGTCGCGCGTTAAGGTCACCAATTTATTTCAATTGCCGTTAAAAAAACCATATTGGACTTTTCGTTTGTTTGCGGTACGGTTCGGATTCCCAATTTGCATAATGGTAAACATGGCGATGATTGTTGATTGACGATGAATGGGACTGTGATTTTCAACTGTCGGCAATTTAGTTCCACCCATTGAGTAGAACAACCAGCAACAAAAGGGGTTCAATCAAACGGTCACACCTGTAACGTGTGTGTAATTAATAGGGTGGTTCAAAATATCGATTTTCTCTGATCATTCTCCCTAAATTTGGTTCCGATCTCATACTGCACTGGCCCTTTTAAGTTTATATGGCAATTACCATGAAGTATTTTCAGGCCTAGGCAAAAAATGAATTTCTGACTCGACCGCCTTCGATTTGCATGACATTTTGCATAATTTTTTGTTATGGTCAATTATTCTCATTCGGCCATTTTGAATTTCACAAACCATTTCAAAATGGCGTATTCGATATTTTTAAACAAATCGCAACCCGAAAACGTCGCTTATTAGCGAGATTTTTTGTGGTGCTGTCCCATTTGAATTATCTCAGTATACAAACAATTGGATTTCAAAATAACATAGAACATTGATTGTTGGGCCCTTGGAAATCTTGGATCCATAAATGGCGTTAAGCATCGATTTCCGGCCCCCGTTCGTCGTCCACGTTCCGAAAATACCCATATTGTTGAATATGTGTCTTTTTGACGTAGGACTACGTCTTTGATTTCTATATGGGGGTACACTTTCTGAAAACCGGAAATGGAACATGTAACAAATTAAGCAAGATTTTGAACGCGAATAACTCAGCTGCCCCTGGACCCATTTCAATAATTTTATCACCAATCGAACAGAAATATTTCTACGCATCATAACAATGCTTCCGACTATTGAAAAAGTGGTAAATGTCAAGCATTGTCGAAAAGCGTCGAAATAACTAACAAATCTATCAATTACATAAATGCATATGCTGCTTCCCCAACACTGTCATCAGAGAGTCGTTAGTAGACGAAAGTCGAAATGGCATTCGCCTCCGATCTTCGGGCGTGTGCGAATAGGGTGGATGCAATTACGTAACATTTTGCACACTCATCGCCATATTCAGAACCACACGCCCCCAAAGACCACACAAAATGCTCTCCAGAGTTGTAATCTTGTATCCAAACTTGGAAGCAAACTCGTACCTAAGTTGAGGTGTCCTTCGCTGCGCCTTTCCAACAACCGGTTAAATCCGTGTCCAACGGTAGCTGAGCCGAGATTCTTCCAAGTGCCCATTCGTCGTTAAGATATCCTTCACTGCGTCCTTCCAACCTGTCGGCAGACACCAGTTCAACCCCTGTTTAGTAGCAGACGGGCCGAGAATCTTGCAAGTGTGCAATCATTGAACCGAAGAATATGGGATTGTCCGGTCCGATTTCCTGATCCAGCTGCCTACACGTTATCATCATCTTCCAAAGGCTTTAAGCCTGCACTACCATCGGCCCTTTTCAAGGTCACAAAGATTTTCTAAAAGAGTTATATCTCTGAACATGTCTCAACTAAAATTCATATCAAAAGGTTCTTTTCAGGGCAATCATAGTCATACTAAAGATTATAAACAGAGAGAATCCCGCTCAAATTCCTATTCCTACACAAAACACAAGCTCCTGCTGTAGTTAACAAATAACATTTATTATAGAAGACCACGTAGTCCTACGTCTTCATTGCGTACAACCCCATAGGGCTGTCCCTTGTTGTTTTTAAACTGGGAGTCTCCATATTTTTTTTTTAATCATTACTTTATTTGTACAGGCTCAATCGCCATCATTGCCAATTTTCCGTTACACATTTTACCGGAGGCATCGTGTTCGGAGTGTTAAAATGTCAATTTTCCTCAAGTTACCTCTCCACATCTCTGAAATTATTTTGAATTCTCTAAAGTTCGCTGGATATCCCTGAATTTATCAAATGTTCTTAAAAGTTCCTGCAGTTTCCTGAAGTTTTTGGAACCACTTTAAAAATCCTGAAATTTGCCTGAAGTTCACCAAAATTTCCAGAAGTTTTCGGAACTTCCCCTTTGTTCCCGTGGTTTGCCTATAATACTTCCTGAAATTCTCAGTACTTCTTTTCATTCCTCAGACTCTCCTGAAGATCTCGATTGTTTCCTGAAGCTTGCTGAAATTAATGGAACTGCCCAGAAGATCTTTAAACTTTCCTTTAAACATAGATCTTCTGTGTAGCTTTCTTAACGTTTTAAGTTCATTCTCTGAAGTTTTTTTTACTTTCCTTAAATTTTCGAAACTTCTTGATGGTTTCCTCTATTTTACTGAAATAAATGGAACTGCCATAAAGGAACGTCCCTCAAGTTCTCACAGTTTTCCTGATGTTCATGGAACTGCCCTAACATTTTCAGAACTTACCCGAAGTTCACGTAACTTACTCATAGGTAATTAAGCTTAAATTTTCCTGAATTTAATGGAACTGCCCTGAAGCTCTTGATCTTCGCTGAAGAAAATTTTACTGAAATCTATTAGATTGCGCTGGAGCTTTCGAATCTTACTACTAATGATCTTCTAACTTACCCACATTTCTATCAATCAGAACTTCTTAAAGGTTTCATTTTTTTGTTTCTGGTGTTAATAGATCTACCGTATTAAATTCGACCAACCGAGCTTGATACATTCACAAGCGAAAATATTTAATCTAGTTAGCCAGATGGGCACCCGGCAGCATTTTGGTGCGCAACTTTTATAAGATGAGCATACGAAGATCGATAATTCGATCATTTTTACGAATTGACCACTTTCATGGATGTTCCAAATCTCCCGGAGGACAGTTTCGTGACCACCAGTGTGTGTGCATGCTGGTCCCAGATTCAAATTCATTCATATAGCATCACAACAAGTGATAAAAAAATCGCTGGTCTATTCGGATCTTCCGGAGGACCGTTTCTTGGGTACCTGGGTCTGTAATTGGATCTTAACCAATTTTCAGTATTCGTGGTTAGGTATATCAATATTGTCGGAAAAAAACAATCACGAAACTCTGTGATCAATTTTAGTTCGAAATTTGACGATAAGTTTAGCAACTATCGGTGCGAAAGCCGAAAACGTAAATTCACAATCGCGCTAGGAACGACCGGTGCGTAAACAAGTTGCTAACTAAAATAGCAATGGCTAAAGTTGTCAAACTAGCAGCCCGAATAGCAACGCATTGGTGCGGGTGCTCTAAGCTGTTTTTAAAGGTTTAAAGATCAATGTTGTATTTGCATATTTTTTTTCGTCAATTTGAAAACAAATTATTCGATTCGAAAAGTTCCATTCAAAAAGGTCGGTGAAAAATAGATCTATCCAGTGTGATCAATTATTTTGACAAGATCGCCCAATACTACTTGTTGCTTTTAGCTATGCTGATCACTCATTATTATTTGGCTATTATGTCGTACCTTTATCATGAGTTCTATAACTCGATGGTCCCTTTAATATCGAGTTGGTGTCCGGCCATTTGGCCGAATGGATCGTTTGGTCCAATACTTGAAAAGAGATTTCCAAAATTTCAAACACTACTAGATTCCTGAGTATTTCGAAACTCTTGTTTCAGAGTAATTTTAAGTTCCCAGATCACAATCTTAGTAGAATTTTACGATGTGGGTCTTTTTATTTCTTTTGACTTTTCACAATTCTGATTTTTTTAGATTCTGATGATAGGAAATTTTTCAAAATTTTATATTGTTTAAAACAGAAATATTATATTTTCGATACATTAATTCAGTGGCTTTTCCTTAACCTCAATCTACCTGTGCACCAACTCTCAAAGCCTAAACAATTATCAAAATATTGCTTGTAATGGATAGATATCGAGTAAACTAGAAGATCAAGTATATTTTTCAATCGATTCGAATATGAATATGGCATTAAATCTGGTTTTGAAAGTTGGTGCATAGGTAAAAGTGAGGTTACGGGACGCCAATGCATTAATTATAATTTTAACCATGAGATGTTATTTTTAGTTATGTAATTGGCATGATTTTTAGCCGGACACCCTTCAAGCATGAGCAGTTCTTTTTAGTTTTGATGTTCTAGTTATATTTGGGCTTTTTGCACATCAAATGCAGCTTGCCATCAAATTTAGAAGAAATAGATTTTAATAATTTTAGGCCATTTTCTCTTCTTTTAAACATGAG